TGTAAAAACAAATACTGTCATCAGACAGGGAAGGGAGAGCTCCTTTCACTAAAGCAATCCTAATGCCTGACTTAGCAACCTTCCATCTCTCTAAGTGCATACACCCGTGCTGCATTTCAAATCCACTGCCTGCCCTGCAAATCCCCTATGTCCAGGTCCTGCTTGGATGCCAGTAGGATACTGCTGCCCAGGGCTGAGCTGCTCTGATGGACAGACGGACAGACACAAACACACAGCTACCAGCAACTGAAGATCTGCGGCAAGGAGAAGCTGCAGAGCTCGGTGCCAAATCCTGCTCTGCAATGGGAGATCCCAGCTACATTAAAGAGAACCATTCCGGGTGTGAGACAGCATGTGTGTATTTGGCAAGTGTTGGGGGTTTTAATTGTCTCAATAAATACATAAACAAAATCTGTTTGTGCATTTGTTTGCTTTTCCCTCCTGGGCTCTGTGGCACCGTTGATGAGAGGAGCAGCAATCACTCAGCTGCACAACTCATGGCTGCTCCTGGTGCGTGCTCTCTGCAACGGATTTGCCTATGAGCTCAGCTGAAATTTACAGGCATTGCCCCTAAGTGGTTTGATCATTTTCTGTGTAGTTTTATGGAGCAGTATGAAGAGCTCAGGAATCACACAAAAAGGGAAATTCAGCATTACTGTAGCAGGGATTATTGCAAAGCCCACAAAGAAGCAGGGCTGATATCCCTCTGCCTCTGGCAGTGCAGATCCCACTGCTGGTGGTGGATCACAGAGATGCACAGAGCACAGTGAGGTCTCTGCACCCTCCCAGTGTGAGGGAGGTGCTGCTAGGCACGGGTTTGGCTCTGACCTAACCAAGACATTCCCTGGGTGATTCCAGATTGAGTTTAATTCTTTTCCCTCATTTCCTCTCTGCTGTTCATTTCCCCATTGCACCGCTCCTGCGATTCCTCTCTCCTTCTGCTCGCAGCTCTCAGTGGCTGCCACAAGGTTACAGCCCCATTTAGTCATCCTTTTGCCAAATGAGACAGAGCTGACTCTTCCAATCTGCTCGAGGAAATCAAACCGGGAGGCAGCGAGCAGGAAAATCCCACAAGCACCAGGACGATGTGGGGTTGACACACGCAGTGCAAAGGCTGGCAGCTGCCTTTCTGAGCAGCATCCGCCCTTTTCCCCAAGGAAGATGAGGCTGGGGGCTGCCTTTATCCCGTGTTAAGCAGGAGCTGCTCCTCTGAGCTGGTAGCACATTGGGGTGTTAAGAAGCCCAGGCCAGACTCTGCAATGCGTGCAGTAATGGATTGCCCTCCATCCAGAAATGAGTAAGTTGTGCTTGGTGATGGAATGATCAATTTGCTCCATCACGTTAAGCTGTCCATTCATCACAGACACCTGCTGTCAGCCACTCACGGCCGCATCGCTGGCACTTGTGGCTGCTGTTATCATCAGGGAAAGAGGTGGGAAGGCAGCAGCCCAGGGTCACTGGTCCTGCTGAGAAACAGCCCCAAAAAGCGCTTCCCTTGCACAAACACATCCCAAGGCTCGGGAACAGCTGATGCTGCAAGGATAGACAGACCGTGAAGGCAGAGGAAATAGCAGGAGTGAACCCAAGAGAAGCCCTTTTGCACCAAATTGGGTGGTGCTCGAGATAAGCACAGAACCCACCCTGTGCTGGAGCAGAGCGCTCAGCAGAACCCTCCTGAGCCTTGGCCGGGTTTGCCTGAAGCAGCGCTCATTTCCCTGTGCTCCCAGGGGTGAGGTGTGAGGCCCACGTGTCAAGGAGATGAAATCTGCTGATGCTTAACAAAACCGCTTCCCCTCTCCTGGCCCATTCCCTCTGCCTTTCTCCTCCACTTCTCCTTCCATCCCCCTCCACCGGAGAGTGCAGGGAGACTCACAGCAAGGTGTAAAGCACTCAAATTACTGCAAAAGCTGGTGCCACACTGGTGTTACTGGTTGATACAGAAAGTTTCAGCCAGGTCAGGCCATGTGTCAGGAGGATAACATAGCTCCCATCCTCAACACAGGCCAGCCCCTGATCCACAGGACGCACAGGCTCAGAGCTGGGGAGCATAACCAGCTCAGATGCAGTGTGTGCAGCACTGGGAGAAATGAAGATAAAATAATAATAATAACAGTAACAAAAAATCTCACTGATTGTACTTTGGCAAAGAATTCCAAGAGCAAAGGGGCTCGCTTGGGAGCAAAACGAAGATGAATTGACAGAGAGTTCAAGAGAATTCATTCTGCCACTGAACACTTGTCTCTCCATCAGGACATCTCAAAGCCTTGTCAAGCGAAGGCAAAGCTTTTATTTGTTTCTATGGTTGCCATAACAATAAAGCTATATGTCATGTCAGGCAGCAGCTGAGGCTCGCTCCTCCGATTTATACCTGCTCAGGAGAAACTACAAACTTTTCTGCAGAGCTGGTGGCATGGATGGGCACGGGGTGACACCACCAGCACAGTGACAGCAGGGCAGGAGCCCCTGCATCACCTCCAGGGGACACCTTCAGCACCAGTGCCACCAGCACCGGTGTCACCCCACACACCTGGAAAGCCACCAAAGGCTGCTGCTGCAACTCAGCGCTGCATTGGGAGCAGGAGCTGCATGTCCTCCTGATATACACAGATACCCATGGGCTGAGCAGCCCACACTGAACAAACACAGCAATGTTCCATCCCACAGGACAAATGATACTTCCAATAGGACCAAAAAGAGTCCCTTTCCCTTGTCTAGTGCACACTAGACAACAGGCAGCATCCCACCTGCCACCCCTACCTGCAGGGTGGGCTGCAGCCATGGCAGAAGGCTGGAGGAAGCCTCAGCAGGGAACCACACGGAGAACAGCATCTCTGTAAGCCACAGGGAGCCAGCACTGCTCCGGAGATCTGCTGATGGCACAGCCCCACCCGGCCTTTCTGCAGTCCCCAGCGTCTTCATAAAACCACAAGGCCGTGTTCAAACCTTTAACCCTCCGCGTTGTAAAGACTTCATCACTTGTTTCCTCCAAGCCAGGCTTTCTGCAATTTTCCTCCATTAAACTCTTCACAAGAAATGACCTCAGAGTGAAAAGGTGCCAGACTAATGAAAGGTCTGGAGGAATGCAGTACGCTTGTTACTGAAGGTACAGAAGAAATACTGGACTGAATTATCATCGTGGTGTTACAGGACAGCACACGGGACACTGCGGGAGCTGAGACACAGCCGTGCTCCAGCTGCTGTAATACAGCACAGGGCTGATGCTGGTGTGTGGACATGGAGGGGGTCACAGCTAAAACACCACAGCACACAAGCAGGAGCTGACAGCGTGCAGCCAGCAGTGTCACCACGGCTCCAGAGAGCAGGGCTGCATGAGGGCAGAGGGATGACTCTTGAATTGCTGTGTGCTGGACAGTACATGTTCAACTCCAATGGTAGGTCCAGAATTACCAGACTCCATTCAGACACCTGGACCACCAGAACTGCTGCATTACCACTCCCTTGACTTGCTGCCAAAGTACGTCTCAGTCCAAAGGAGCAAAGCAAAGATGAACAGCTTTATAGTACCGTTCTCATTTTGTAAAACCTCCTAACAGCCTCAATATGGAGACAGGACAGGCAATGCTCACAGGTGCCAAACACCACAACGTCCCTCCTCATGGGCTGCACACTGAGCATCCCGAGCACAGCTGCTCTGCACCAGCACCTTCAGCAGCCCCTGTGCAGCACCATCTCCACCCCATCCTTCACAGGGTGCTCAGGAACCTGAGCTGCCAGCCCGATCCTCCTTTGAGAAGCATTTAGGTTCTAATGCAGGAATAATAACACCTCAGTTTGGGGTTTTCACTGTATCTGCGAAATCCTCCATAATTCAGCATCAAATATTTATTATTACGTTTATTAAAGTTTTAATAATTTAGCATTTCCTTCACGTATGATACAAGCACCATGAACTCACCTCTTTTATTCTACCTGGGTCACTCTTGATATTTATATTAGCAATTCTCATTTGGGGTTTCATTTTGGAGGGGAGCAGACAACAGCCTTTGGGCCAGAAACTGCCCTCCTGCCCCAGCACTCCTCCACCAGGAGCCCTGCCAAGACTCACAGTGATGGGACAGAAAAGTGGAAATCCAATATCCCATTGCTCTTAGAAAATGAAAGAATATGGGTTGGGGAGACAGGGATTCCCAGGACACACAGCACAGACAAGAATCAGCACATCAAGAAATTGCCTTCATTGAATAGGAGAAGGCAGTAAGCAGGAAGGCAGGGAGGACTCCTAGGGAATCCCTGGCACTCTGAGATCACACACTTAATCTAGATTTAAGCAAGGAGAGGAAATACACACCGATACCTTACAAATCAAACAGCTAAACCTCTGCAAACCAAGCAGAGGTGAGCAATAACAACACCACCTTCCAGCTGGGGCACAGAAGACAACTGTTTTGCCTTGACTCTCTTTCCAAGCCCCAAACTTTGCCCACCTTCAGCCCTGCTGAATGAGATGTCAAAGCAAGTCTGGCTAAAGCACAAGCTAGTGAGAATGGGAGAGCCAGAGAAAAATCTGGGCATCTGCTGAACTCAAGGGAGAAAAATAACCCTTCTAATTGCGTAGTAATTGGACAAACAACACAATCTTTCACCAGGCTCTGACCTTGGCCTCTCAGGAGGCCCGAAACAGAAAATCAGTGGTGTAGTAGATGTGATATACATCAGCATCTCAGAAAGATGACGACATCCTCTGTACCTATAAATGCACTAACTAAAGCTATGCAAACAAACATTAGATTAAAGCCACTTGAAAACAGCCTTGTCATAGGTCTGAGCAGTTCACCTGATGGGACTGTCAGGCTTCAGTTACATGACATACCTGGCCTAGACCCACAGCAACCAAAAATCACCTGGAAAATAACCACATCAGATCTCTTATTGGAAGAAAATTGATCAAACTTGTTACATAAATTACTGAATCCTCAGTAGCAATTTAAAGACCAGCCTAGCCACTCAAGCACGAGTAAAATGAGAAATCTGCTTCCTACCTGACATCTGCCGGATCTTCCGTCACCAGAACATCTGTCTTGCAGCTGGCAAGAGGATTGATAGAGAGCTCCACGGGGGGCACCACGAAGCTCTTACTGACAGGCAGCCACAGGCCTTGTCCCAGACTATACGTGGACCTGAAATGGGGACAAACACATCATATAGGAATACAGAATCTACAGTGAATGGTGGACCTCCAACTCAAATACAGACGAGCCGAATGCTACCCAACCCACCTGAGTATCTTCTCCGGAGCTTGCTCTCCTGTGACCAAGTCGTATCCTCTCTCAAGTGTGGTGTAGGGCCACGGCCTGGGAGACCAAGAGGGAGAGAGAAGCTGCGTCACATACCCAGCAAGGACAGCAGCACCACCAGGTGCCGGATCTCTGGTGATAATGATGAAAGTCACAAGGAAAGGAGCTGAGCCCAGCATGAAGCCAGCTTGCTGTGCACAGGCAGCTTCCACTCACCCTTCGCTGTGTCCCCAGTCAGTGCGCACACACAGGTGGCGATGCATGGGGTCCGGGGCATAGCCTTCATGACAGCTGCACTCTCCTGCAAGAGACCAGGGACATGTAAAACCTCCCTGTGCAGAAAGCACCACATTGGCTGCTCCAGTGAAAACGGTGTAGAGCTGTGTCAGCTGGGAAAAGGTTAGGAAAAGGTTCTGCATCAGAGAGCGGTGAGCATGGCACAGCTCTGAGAGCAGTGGGCATAACCCCAAGCTGCCAATTGGGGAGCACTTGGACACTGCTCTCAGACCTAGGCTGTCTGGAGCCAGGAGCTGGGCTCAGTGATCTTTATGGGTCCCTTCCAGCTCTGGATATTCTATGACTCTATGACTTCTCCGACAAGGTTATATGATGTGTTACTGGAGCTGGAGATGTGATGCAATGAATCAAGATGTCTGATCCCAACCCATGTGCATCCTTTCAGCTCCCCAGGCCCAGCCAAGCCCGGCCTGATGGCCTCCAAAGAAGCTCAGCATAACACCAGCATCTCTCCAGGACAGCAAACATCCACCCCATAGTTGCAGTCTACTCTGCAATCCCCCAGCTCACTCAGTGCAGAAGAATCAAACTCCCTCCACTCCTGGCCTCCAGCCTCTGCCATTCCAAGGGGCTCCCACCTCCTGTTACACTCTGCTGACAGCAGGAGCACAGACCTGAGGTTGGCCCAGATCGATCCTGCTTTCAGTATGAATATATAACCCGGAGCAAGAAACAGCAAAATCAAAAGATGAATTGGATTTGCACGTGGAATTTTCTTACAAGCATCTGTCAATTACTTCTCCCACTCCCTCTGCCTCGCTTTGTGCTGTTCCTCATTGCTGGGCTTTAAGCTTTGGGGCAGAGCCAGGGGGACCACAAAGAGGGGGGAGGCAGGCAACGAGAGCCCCCAGCACCAGCAAGGCTGCAGGTGGGCAGAGACTGCGTGCACCTCAGTCCCCAGCTGAGCTTAGCTGTCTTGCAGGGATTACAGTAAAGAGCTTTATTGTCAGGAGGGAACGAAACGGGGGTGCAGCCTACTAGATTGTAAGAGATGTCTGGAAAAGGAGAGGTAGGGAAAGAGAAGGGAGGGGGAAAGAAAGAGACAGCTAATGATGTGCTAAAATACAACAGCACCTTCATGAAATATTCACTGCTTTAAACGCGTCTAATATTAAAGATTAAATGTCCTGGGATTTGTCCTAGCAACTTCCAAGCACTGATTTATGATGTGTCAAAAGCTGCTAACCTCATGATTCATAATGGGAGAGGCAGGAGCATTACTTCTCCAAAGGGATGGAGCTGGGCAGGAGACGGTGTGAGCTCACCATGCCGCAGCCTGCCTGGCCCAGGGCGGTCTCATGACAAGAACTGCACGTCCTAATGGCTCCATCAGTGAGTTAAAAAAGAAAGAAAAGTTATTTCTTTCCTTGGGTGCTTAGTACACAAGTTCCCCCAGCCACGATGTGGATCATTAATTCCCAGCGCTTATTACATAACAAATATATGATCTGCAAATGAGAGACATCTCAGAGTGCTTGCAAAGCAGAGCTGGGAGTCTTGGGGCACCGGCTCACTTTCTGAGCCTGCCACAGAAATTAGAGCAAATAAGGGGAAAAGGAAACACCCATAGAGGTTGGCATCCAACAGCCCTATCACCGCCTTGGTTATTGATGGCTGCAGGTGCCAGGGCCGTTAACCCCTTTCCCGCAGCACGATGTGTTTATTTTGTCCGCCAGTTTGTTTACAGTTGAGGCAGCTCGATGTCGGAAGGAGGAACTCCATCAACCTGCAGAAATATTGATTTTATTGACTTCAATCCTAGAGCTTCAACAGCTACAGCCAGTGCTGGAGGCTTTACTGGGACGTTTATAGGGAGGTTTGTGTCGGGAAGTGGGAGCGCCACGCAGCAGGGATGTTGTGCAGGGCTGAGAGAGTGGTGAGCTGCTGGAACAGCTGCCCAGAGAGGCTGTGGATGCCCAGTCCCTGGAGGTGTTCAAGGTCAGGTTGGATGGGGCCCTGGGCAGCCTGGGCTGGCATTAAATGGGGAGGTCGGTGGCCCTGCCTCTGGCAGGGGGGTTGGAGATTCGTGATCCCTGAGGTCCCTTCCAACCCTGGCCATTCTGTGATTCTGTGAGATTACCAGCACCCTCCTCCTTCAGCCGCCCAAAATATCCTAGAATTTCTTCTGTCCTCAGCCCTGCTGGTTGTGATGCTGAACCAGCTGCTGCTGTGGCCTGTGGGGTGAATCAGCATGAGCTCAGTGCGACCGAGGTGGGGGTCCCGGGCCCCTAATTCCTCCTTTGAGCAAGTGTATTTCCTTAAGAGCAGATTTCAACATGCTGCTACAAACTGCCACCACCAAAAGCCCAAACAACAATGCTCTTGTTCAGGGCTACAAAACCTTTTGCCTCTGCTGAGGGAGGACAAATGAACTGGGATCTCCAAAGTGCTGTGACAAGCAGCCCATTTCTGCAGACACCGACCCGTGCTGCGCTCATGGTGCAAACACTGATGCTGAAGCCATTTGTCTTCTTTCAAATTCAGAACCCTTGAATCAGGCCAGATCAGACTGCCCAGCCATGGCTGATGGCAGGGAGCACAGAGTCTCCAGGGCTGCAGAAGCTGCAGGGTGCATCCAGAGCCCCCAGACACGTCTCACAGCCTCCTCCTGCTGTGCTTTCATGTCCATAGGGCTGGCAGGGAGATGAGCAAGCACAGAGATCAAAGCAGCACTGAGTGGCACGCAGAGCCCTGCCACAATCCAGCACTGCTGCTGCAACTGGGAAGAGGAGCAGGACCCAGAGCATGGAGGAGGTGGGCAAACCGAGCACACATCTGCCTGGTGGCTGCACACAGGTGGCAGCTTCCTCTGCCTGTTTCCAAGCACAGGGCTCCATATGGCACACCATGCAGTACGGGAGCACTCTGCAGCCCCACTCTTCTGCACCACCAGCTTTTAGTTCAGGGCTGTCCCACAGCTCGTTCGTGCCCAAAGGAGAGGAGCCTGTCTGAACCCCCACTGTGCTCCTAGGGCAGAGGGAAAGCATACAGGAGCTTGGTGCAAGGGCCTACAGCACCTTCCAGCTGCATCCAGACCAGCGCAATGAGGACTTCAGCCCTTTTCTACACATCTACACAGGAAGCTAAAAGGTTTCTCCTATTTCACTCATCACACCACATTTCTGCTCATCCTGAAGCAGAAACATCCCCCAGCCATCTCCTTGCTTATCCACAGAGCAGCACAGCCAGGCTGCATGAGTGCCATGCAGCCAAGCGTTCCTGCGCCAGCGTGCTGGTAATCCTGTTATCCTCGTTAGGGCGAGGTGATCTACTGTGATAATGCTGTGGGATTCCTCTAATCCTCCAGTTGGCACACAGCAGAGGCTCCCAGAGTCCCTGTGCTCCCGGAGAAGCTGCTCTCTGCAGGCAGCAGCACTTTTACTCATGGAGCCAGGGACTGTGCCTCTGCCCTGGGGACCCCAGCACAAGCTCTGGCCCTTTGGGCACCTCTCCCAGAACCACAACTTGCACCCTGGGTGCAGGCAGGAGGCTGCAGGACTCACTCCAGGGCAAAGCTTAGCCCGTCAGTCCCTGCCACCACCCCAATACTGCACACATTGCTCCTGTCCCTGGGTAGCAGCCACGATGGAGGGGATGAGCAGGCCAGGGACAGGCACAGTGCACATGTGCACAAGGGTTGGCACAGAGTTTCTGATTGATACAGGTGCGGATGAGAGGGATGCTCAAAAAGCACCTCTACAAAACCCTTCTTTAAATGGGTTGCTGCAACCCTGTGGGATGTCAGAGGAAGAGAATCTGAGAAAATTCAACACAGAAAGGACAAAAATGGCCTTAATGGATCATTAAATTCCTAAATTCAATGGACAAGTGAGGGGTCCTCAGAAAGCGGCTGCTGAAACCAGGACCGGCCCAGCTGAGGCCATGACTCCTCAGCAGCTCCCAGCTCTGACAAGTTTCTCTTCCACCCTCATTATCTGCAGCTCCTGGCCTTTGGGGATGGCATCTTCTAAACTCTCTCTGCTTAATCCTGATGAGAAATTCAGTTTCACTAAAAGCTGTTCAGCTCTCAAGGAACAAGAAAGGAAAGCTCTTTCCTATCAGGACAAACTTTCTTTCTCTTTGATTATTTAATTCCTCTCTAAAGGAACACAGCCACCACGAGGCAGGATGACCAGCAGGCCCCCAGAGATCCTCCACTGCAGCACATGGGCAGCATCAGTCTGATACAGGCATGAGGGACAGCTCGAAGTGGCTGGGAGCAGAGGCAGACAGCTCTGCTCTGCTGTGAATGCAGAGGGAAAATCTGGAATCAACAGTACAGACACCTTCCTCTCCCCCCACTGCAAGTCACTCTCCTTGCCCAGATGCATCAAAGCACTTGAGAGCAAACCTAACTTGTGAGGATTGTCTCTGGGTTTACGCTCGACACAGATATTATTCTCATTATCATTTGCTAAGCCCCTAAGCTGCACTGCTGAGGAAGCTCCCCGCGGGCACACGTGGGTGGCTGCTGTAAGGTCCTGAGCAGGCAGCACCCAAGGGTGCTCTGCAGTGCCCAACTTCTGCGCTGACACCACCAAAGTCAGCCAGCAGGGCTGGTGGGATGGGCCAAGCAGGCAAAATGTGCCCAGGAGCACCTCCAGCCACAGAGCTCCCCTCCCTTCCCTCCTCTCCGCAGCCTCTAGACAGGCTCAGAAATGCCATTACAGGAACATTAGCAGCTGCAGGATTAAACACTCTAATGGCAGAAAATGAGAGTGCCAAGACAGCACAGATAACCTTAACACAGCCCCCTCGCGGGCATGCATTTTGATTGCTGTTTATGTCTAACACCACAGCCCCAAGCAGTTAGCTTGGGAGTTAACTGCCTCCTGCCCTGCTTGGTGCGCAAGGCAAGCTGCGCCGCCGCACGAAAAGCAATTGCACATTGTGTGAGTTCTGACCAAGTTATTAAACTACATACCTTAGAGAGACAGAACCTCATCTGATGAAAGTCAAAGTCAATAAAGACACCGGGATCTTCCAACAGCGAAAACAGCACAAGTTCATGAGAACAAACAAATATTACTTGATGTGCACAAAAGCCACATGATATTAAATTGAACTATTGACGAAAATGGCTGTTCATAAACACAAGTAACCCCTCACCAAGGTTGGTCATCTGCTGATTTACATGTCCTGCTCTGCAACCCCCTTTAAAGAAAGGGTGCATTTAACACCGACTTCCATCTGTTTCCCACCCACGAGTCCTACCAGGCCAGCAGAGCCATCTGCGGCCACAGTGACAAACTCACCCATTTGGAAGATGATGGAAACCTCTTTTTCTTTTCCCCCTGCCAATTTCTAGAAAAAGACCTTTTGCTACCACACCTAATTGGGTTCTTACAAGCATGTGCCTATTGTTTTGTGGGTGCAATCAATTGTGAATGCATAGAAGACAGCTTTAACGGGTAAGTGCCTGATTTATGGATGGGGAAAAAAAATCAACGCACTTGCACCTGCTAATCAAGGTAGCGATCCATCTCATTTATGCCACTGCTCTGGCAAGCCTGACAGCACAGAATCAGAGGCTGTTTTTTCCAGCGTTTGGCCCTAAGGGACCAATTCTCCAGCAGGTCTCTTAAGCGATGCCCACAGAATGTGCAAGTGAATCAGTTTTGTGCATACAAAGCAGGTAATTGTGCTCACAAATCAGGATTTGCATATGCCACCAAAAAAAGGATGCCCTCATAAATGTTACTGGCACCGGTAAGGGAGGTGAATGAAAAAGCACTCCTTGATTGTAGGAAAAAGCATCTCAGAGCACGGCATGAATGCCACGTCCATTGGAAAACCCAACCGAGGCGCAGCTCTGGAGTGTGTTATCCACACTGTGAGGCTGAGGATAGAGTCAGGAGAGGCACCCGGCTCACTCGAGGCCACAGATGATATTCTGCTCCTGTGCAGATGTTGGTGCTCTCCCTGAAAAGCTCTGATGAGCTGGTACTTTGCAGAGAGGGCTTGAAATTTGTCAGGGGCAGCAATCATTTAATTAAAGAATGAGTCACACTGTGATGACACAAGGGAAAGCAAATTAAGGTCAGGCAAGCAAGATGTGTTTTGGCGTTTCCTAGCGTTTCCGAGCCATGGTTTTCAGTGTGGATTATTATTCATCCTGAAGCAGCACTTGTGGCTTTGCTTACGAATCAGCGCATTGCACGGACAGATATTCCACAAAACTCCAACCCTAAAGAGGTCTTCAGCTCAGGGAGGAGTAAGAGGCTGAGCGTCACCAGACCGCATGTGCAACCAGGTGACTTTTGTCCAAACCTGTGCCAGCAGTGCCTGGCAATGCTGCTGAGGATGAGTCCTCTCACAGAGGTGGAGGAGGTCTGCACACAGCTTGGAGGGAGAAAGCTTTGGGACAAGGCATTCAATGAAGGAGAGGGCGGCCTCCAAGGGGGACCGAAGGCAGAGTGGCTGTAAACACACTGAAGCACCTCAGGGGTTGCCCTGCTGCTCCTTATAAAGGAAACCTTCAGGGCACTCGTGCCCTAGACAGGACAAACCCTGGCCCAGCACCCCTCTTCCCCCATCCAGAGAGGATGGAGGGCAGGGAAATCCCCCGCACTCATTCCTCTAGATGCTCACAGCGATGATAAAATCCCTGACCTGGAAAGGTTGAAATCTAGAAAGGATTTATGTCCCCTTGTAAAACCACAGGCCTCTCTCTCTCGTGGTGATAAAAATAAATCACCCTTAAAAATAGAATGACATTAATAAATATAAATCTAAAAATACATGCAGTGCATCATGGAATTACGATCCTGGCATGGAAACTTCTCACCAGCTGAAGGCTCACCAACAGCAAGGATTGGAAGCAATGTTGAGGGCTATCTCCCAGGGTGGGAGTCCCATAGGTTCTTCCAAAGGACTCAATGTCAGTAGGTAGTTAATTGTTCAGCTCTTGGTAAAGTCTGGAAACTCATACTTCAAATCCACAGCCCCACCAGCCAGTCCTGCCCTACCCCTGCAATAAAACTGGCATAGACAGGAGAAAGGTTTTGCTTTATCCATGTGCAAATTCCCAGCTTGAAGGGAGAAGAAAAAAGCTGGTGTACAGATGTGAGGTAAGGAGCCTGATAGTTCAGTGCATGGCTGTTCTGCCCTCACCTCCATCACAGAGCTGAAGGCACAGACAGACACACAGACATTGCCCGATATGCCCAGCATTGGGATCACAGCCTGCCTAAATTCATCACAGATTTTCCACCTTGCTTCTCCCACTCTGAGCAGGTCACAGCCCCTTGAACCTGTTTCCTTCCCCCAGGCACATCCAGGACACACCATACTTCAACTAGTATCAGGTAGACTCAATGCTGCTGGATTTTGGTCAGATGGGAAGCAGGAATGGAAACTGTAAAGCAGCTGATGAGGTTAGAATCAAGCACTGTGCTGGAGCTGAGCTAAAGAGCATCATTCCCTTCCCTGCAAATGAGATCTGACATGTCCTGCTCGAGCATGGAGCATCCAGCAAGAGGGACAAGCTGCTACAGAGAGCTGGGGATGCAAAGGGAGCAGCATCTGGGCTGCTGTGGAAGAACAGCCAACACCATACAGGGCCTGTATCAGTGCCAAGGCCAGCACAAGACTGGCAAGCAGAGCATCGGGGCTGCCTCCATTCACCCTCCTCATGTTTTCTGCTGGAGGCAGGAGCTTTTTCTTCTTCCTCCCCTGGGTAGAACTGAACTCATCTTTCCTTATCTCAGAGGTGGCTGAGAGTTGCTGATGCCTGAAGTGATCACGCCGTGCTGAAGCACATGCTCTCACATCACCTCCATCTGCCAGGGGCTGCTACCTCAGCCCTCCTAGGCTGCAGGTGATGCCCAGAGCTACTCAGCATGGGGAACTCAGTCAGAGTGACTATTCTGCTGTGCCTACACCTGTCAGTACCTTCGCACAGACAAGACCTCAGGACCAGGCGTATGAAAAGAGAATACTGTCTTGATAAGCAAAACGGATTTAAGGAACTTAGTTTAGTATTTGCTGGAGTCACACATTCACGTGTCCCACTCATGCAGACCCCCATCGTTCCCTTGTTGCTCTTTTGCTGTTTTCTGGGTTCCCAGCTCACTGCAGCTGCTCCCCATGTATTAAACAGGAGAATGGGGACAGAAGGAAGGTGGCACTTCTTCTCTCCTTGGCCCCACACACGGCTGAGCCACAGCACAGCAGGTTGCAGATCCACGTGCAAGCAGAGCACACAGCAAAAAGCTCATCTATAGGTTAGGAAAGATAAAGGTGTCTGCAGCTCCACAAGAGAGGTGGAGAAGAGATCAGCACTAGGTCACACTGGGCAGAAGCACTGAAGGGAAAAGAAGTGACAGGTTCACCTGTCACTTTCTACTCTACTACTCAATTTCTACTCCCCATCCTGGCACTCAGCTGCTTAATGCTTGCTAATGGAGGTCACCAATACGTACCCTGCTGGTACTCAGCCCTCTGCCCTGATGCCAGGCATGGGTGAGCCATGCAGGTATTGACATAGCCAGAGACAAACCTCCCACACACCTCCAGCCTCTACAAGGTTTCTACTCTCCCCAGGCCTCCCTTACCTGTCTCTTGGTCACACAGCTGTTCACAGGCATCGGTGGTCCTCTGGCCACAGAGATCTCTCACCCAGGGAGACGTGGCATTGATCTGATAATAAAGGGACAGCTTGGCTGGGTTCAGCCAGTCGGAGATGTCCAGGTAGCTCCCCTCACTCACAACGAAGCTGCTGCCTGAGAGTGGAAAAAAAGTGTGTAAGGAAAGCATAAAAAGAAAATGAAAAGCATTTTATGCCAAAAGGTAGCATGTTGCAAGAAGGAAAAGGGTTGTCTTAAAACTGCAGCCTTCCAGGACCTACAGGGGAGTCAACTCTTTGAAAGGGTATAATAGATAATAGCAGGACAAGGGGAAATGGTTTTAAGTTGAAGGAGGGACCATTTAGGTTGGATATCAGAGGGAAGTTCTTTACTATGAGAGTGGTGAGGTGCTGCCACAGCTGCCCAGAGAGGCTGTGGATGCCCCATCCATCCCTGGAGGTGTTCAAGGCCAGGTTGGATGGGGCCCTGGGCAACCTGGTCTGGTATTAAATGTGGAGGTTGGTGGCCCTGCATGTGGCAGCAGGGTTGGAGCTTCATGATCCTTGAGGACCCTTCCAACCCAAGCCATTCTATGATTCTGTGATTCTAAATAAGGTACAGAGGAATCTATACATGAGGCAGCAGAACTTCCCATTACTGACCCACTGCTCTCCACAGCACAGCCAGTTTGTTCTTGTTGCTTCAGTACTAAGGAAAGAAACCTTCCCTGCAAAGGCAGAGAACTGCGGTTGCAGGCTCTCCTCCCCTCTCTGATAGATCAGTCAATCTGCACTCTTTCGTGCCTGCTGCACACATATGAAAATGCCCAGAGAATGGACAACCCCTGCCAAGACTCTCCCCTATCCCATGAGTGTCACAAGTTGCTGGTTTTGATTCCTGCATCTCTGCAGGAATGCAGACAAAATGCAATTATTCTGATCCATAGGATTGGAGCATCACTTTCCCAGCTCATGCAGATGATGTTTAGCAGTCAGCCAGATCCCAGGACCAGGATGGGAGAGGGCAGCAGTCCATAGGGCTGTTTCTGCTTCATGTCTCCCAGCTCAAGGCAAGTGAACTGACCCAATACAACTTCTAGCAGAAAAACTCCCCTTCGCTCTCCCCCATGAGAGTTAAAGTAAATTCCTGCCAAAAAAACCTTTTCTTACAAAATCTTAAGTTTCTTTATTTTGTGAAGTGTATTTTTCCCCACTAGCATCTGGGAATATGCATCATCTAATTAGCCAAATAGATTTTCAGTTCAGCCCAATCATTTCCTTATCTAACATCTGAGGCCCAGCATCGCTTGGGGGATTTTGCAGGCACAGAGGTCCTCATTAACTCTGATCTTCAATTACATTGATTATAAGACTGCCTCCATAATAGTGCTGCACAGATCAGAGGGGAGCCAAAAAGCCTCTGCCATTAAGTGGTGTTTTGCAAAAGTTACCCAGGTAAAAGCCTCTAAGAACGGGGGAGAAGAAACCTTCAAAGAGGAGGAGTGGGCAAGGTAAACTGCCAGGTAGCCCAGGAGCCAGCAGGCACCCTTCTTTTAAGCACTGGGACTGGAAATAGGGGCAAGCTTTGCAAGCACAATCTGAAGATTCAAATCCTTCTTTGTGATTGGTCAAGAATGGCAACTCTGTAGATCCAGGATATATTTTCTTGAAACCTGAAGGCTTGTATCACTTGGAAAAATAAAGTCTCAGTGCATTACTAGGCGCTGCAGAAGTTCTCAGCTCAACGAAAACCAAGGGATTAAAAAAGCAAAACAAAAAATACACAGCAGCAACCACCCCACAAGAATCTGCTTGAACACACACCCCAAATTTCCTTTGGAATGAGAACTGATGATGCTTTAGCAGGAAGGAGTTTGCCTCAACCTCACGCTGTGCCACGTTATCCTCATGGAAGATAAAGAAGCAAAACCTGAAGTCAGGCTTTTGAGTGAACAACCCTGTTTCCAAGCATCCTGAGATCACAACACCATACAAATCCAGGCCCTAATTTCACATGAATTCAACTCTTTCACACTTATACAGATCACACAGATGCATCTCTACATCCACAGCCGAGGGATGAAGCTGCGCTGCTGAGCGCACACACAGATAACCAAGAGCTGCAGCACACAGCTGCACTGGGGACCAGTGAGGCAGGGGCTGGATGACCAGGCTGCAGGAGACATCTGCCACAAGGCACCTGCAGAAAGCACTGCAACACCAAGCACAAACAAGAACCTCGGAGCTGCCTAACCTTTCCTGTTAGTTCTTTTCCATCGGTATTTAAAGACAGCTTTAGACACCAGTGATAACTACTACTGGTTGTTGGGTTTGGTTTTGTTTTGTACCAAATGGAAATACATCACGAACCCATCGGGAGGGTTTACATCTATTATAGTGTTAGTCTCAGTTGCTTACTTATTTTTATAGCTTCTTAGTAACGAGTGTGGCTGCAGAAACACATCAGTGCATTTGGAGGTTCAGTGACAGACAAGACCCTCCGTGCCCAAAGGCTCAAAAGCAAAACCACCGGCTCTTGATTAAATCCTTCATGAACCCCACTCCTATTTAAAACAGAGCCAGGGTGAAAGCAATAGAAGGAAATCAGACATAAAAGAGTCATATAATTGGTTTTCGTTAAAGACAAGGCTGACTTGAGCCAGCAGTGTCCTGGCACAGGACCTTGGTGGAGGGAATCCAGCAGGTGACAGCAGGGCGACTTCAGAGGTGGGACAGATCCATCAGCTCCAGGTGTAAATTCGTTTGGGAGAAAGAAAAAACAACATAGATTTGGGGAAGGAAATCGTGTCGTGTCACATTCTATTCTATACACAGGGAGATCTACAAACATAACACAATTGTAACTGAAAGGGAAAAAAAAAAGTGTTCTTGCATTTTCATTTGAATTAATTTTGATTTCAGGACGCCTTCAAGAGAGATCATCCTCAAAAGTAAAAGAAAAGGAAAAAAAAGTGAAAACGCTTGAACCCAAAATCCCTGGATTCAATGCTTAGTGAAAATAATGGGCACTGCTCCACCTCAGACAAGAAAAGAAGCAAATAAACAATTAAAAAGCAGGGAAATTGAAAGTTCTAGTTAAATGTAAACATTTTCCTCCCTTCCCAGGAGGGGGAGGAGGGAACTGCTTGCAGCCAGGAAACTTCTCACATCCCAGCTCAGCTGGGTACCATTTGAAATGCATCACACACACCTTCCCCATCGTCACTCTCATTGAAAACACAAAAATCCCAACCTTGATCCTTCCATAGTTTGCTTCAGAAAAAAAAAAAAAAAGGAACAGGAAAAGGAGTTTTACAAACATTTTGAAAGCTCAAATTCCGAAGATTTCAAAGCCTTTCCACACAAATTTTGTTTTTGTTTTCAAAGAATCCGCACACATGAAACAGTTTTCACAAGACACCAGCGCGCACTTATCAAAAACATCTTGAAAAGCTACGAAGGGGCAGGAGGAATAGCAAATCCTTTTAGCAACAGACAAGAACAAACATTTCCTAAGCAAGTGTCATCTCCAACACGGTTTGCTTGTCAGAAAGACCCGCCGGATCCGTGTTGTGTAACACCTGGTCCCTCAGCAGAGGTAAACAAAAGGGGATGGCAGTGGTGATCAGACGCTGCTGCTGTGATGGGGGGAAGCTGGAAACATCTTTTGGGGAATGGGGCTCAGCCAAACCCACAGCTGAAAGCGCTCCGTGTGCAACACAACCCACAGGCACTGCGTGACACTGAAAGCTCAGCAAAATCCTCTTTAAACAGAGAGACTGGGGTAAAGCAACCAGGGTGAGACGTCAGTAACAGCAGGACACGGCCGGGCAGCTGCACAGCCCTCAGAAGCCAGGCCCTGCTGCAGATCAGCATCACAGCCCTAAGGAGAAGCCCAGTGTACGGCTGCACAGCGCCGGTGCTTCAGGGGATGGCGTTGTTTGGGTTTTTGCATGTGTGTTTTTCCCCCTTTCCTTCTCAAATGTTGATCAAAGCCGGGCCGGCTAAGACAGCAGCAAAAGTTCACGTCTCTCACGCTGAGGTCTCCTTCAAAGTTCAGTGGGACTGCTTAAGCCGTGACAAAAAAAGGCTTGAAGTTTTGACATTTGAAAAATCATTTGCCAGGAACAAAACAGGATAAAACAGCTCAGAAGAGATGTATAACAAGGGAAAAGAACAAAGAGCCCAAAAGGCAGCCAAAAGGGTTCGGTTTTTCCTTTCCCTCTGTTTTTTCTTTTCTTTCTTTTTTTTTTTCTGAGGGAAGAGATCAAATATTTTTTTGCGTGTGTGAAGAATTTCTGTTTCTTCCTCCCTCCACTCCTTTTTTCTTCTTGGGCCCATTTGTTGTATCTTGGACAACAAAACTCCTTGTCATCTAAAATTAGTATTTGGTGTTAGAACCCCGCAGGAGGTCGTACGACAGGTTGCTAATAATGCATCCGTCCCTATACCATCTCACAATTATAATCCTGTTACAGATTCCTCTTTTTTTTTTTTTAAGACCACAGGAAGGATTATCCCCTATGGGTACAAAGCATGATTTGATTTCTTAGGAGACTTTCTTCTTGTAAAACTTGAAAGAATAATTCCCATAGAGACAACTCCTCCCCTATCGGCTCTTCCTGTTGATCAGCTCTTGCCCTCCCATCCTTGTACTGGAGGATAAAGAACTCTGTTTCTTAATTTTCTTCCAGGAAATTGAACCAAGAGCCACGCAAACATTCAGTTCCCAGGACACACATACAGTGAACCAAGCAGTGGTACAGGGCTTGGGGCAGGGCTGCACCCACAGACCGACACAGCGCCCGGCTTTCCAGCTCTGCTCAGCACAAAGCCTGAGAATTTTGGACTCATTTCATTTCTGCCAAGTCACATCTGTAATTTTTTTCTCCTCAATCGAAACTAAGGACAGGATCACAGCGTGTTCAAACCCACCCCAGACGTTCCCTTCTGTTTATCTAACGCTTTCTCCCACACAACGCCTAAACAGAAAGTTGAGTAAGCCTTTAAAACCACACAAGCTTCTATGTACGCCTTTCCTGTCTTTATTTCTCCCTCAGCCAAGCTGAAGGCAGCTCCCACCACGCAGGGCTCGGCTGCAGGAGGCATTTTTGGCACCTGAGCTCCATGCACACCGTGGGCTGCCCAGCCCATGGC